TAACTCTCATACAGGTCATGGCAGCCAGGTCACACCCTACATGTTTGCACACCACACATGCTTGCCATCATCCACCCCACCTAACCCCACCACATCCCACCTCCAGTGAACCCACCTCACACGCAGGGCCACAAACATTACATTCAAACCATAATGCGTTCACCTTCGCCTAGATCTATCCACACCTACATCTATAAACATGCATAAAAACTATGCACATGAAGACAAATTAATAATGTTTAAGACATTAAGCATGTGCAGTTATAAAAACTACTTGTTTTTATGCTTACTATTAATTGTCTAAACATCGTCGTCATCTTCGCGTCCATGACTATTAATAAAATGTACAATTTGGTCTTCAGGACAAAGTTGTAGGAAGGCAGGTTCCGTGTCTGTTACTTCTTTCCATGAATTATACCGCAAATCTGAATAAAACGTACAACTAACGAGAAAACGAGTTTCGTCTCTGATTTCGCTGCAACTACAATAATTGCAAACTCAATCATGTGGAGGTGTTTTAGGGCGAGAATATCTACGTAATTCTACTTCTACTTCTACTACTACACAGCGACATTTAATCATAATTCTTCGCTGAGATCTACTGAGAATTGCACCAACACATGGCTCAACTTGTAGTGTATCTTTAAACAGACGGTGTGTACGGAGTATGTTGCCTTTGAGTTGGCCCCTGTCGTTCCACTATTTATGAAAGAAAATGTAAACTGTGTTACATTGATGATATTGGAGATGAATCTCACTATATTTTTAAATGTCCATATTTTACTAAAGAAATAATTTGTATATCCCACCTACATATTCTAAAAGACCTAATATGATTAAATTTCAAAGACTTTTCACTTGTAAAAATCCCTTAGTAAATTCTGTAAATATGTAATGCAAATTGAAAAATCTTCCGGCTGACCACATATCCGCTATTATAATGTGTATTTTGCTGTCATTTTGTACCTCATGTGCCGAGAATCTCGGCCTGAGCGTAATAAAGTTCTTTTCTGCCTACTAATTACTGAGCTGCCCAATACTGTCATACTGTGGGCAGAGTAAGCTACTCCAATTCGTTCAGTGATACAGATTAACCAGATAATGACTGTGTTTGTAAGTTGCGTTTAATCTGTGTCGGGTTGCAGGTGTTTTATTAGGCAAGACCAGGGGTAGTTTTTTTCAATGAAACCTTTTAACCGTTGAGTTTGTTTTGCATTCATTTCATTAAATACATTGTTAGGTAGACTAATAACACGTTATATAGATTAAACATCTTCCTAACCTGAGTATAATCTCCCATGTACTCTAAGTACCGTACTATATTACTTTGGGGAGACTTTGAATATATTTTTTGAGTTCACATTATATGCTGTCGGAATGACTTTACAATACAATACAATACAATATAGTTTATTAAAGTCTCACCATTTGTACAGCAGGGGTTTAAATAAAGCATTTTAAATATCTTAAAACTTAGAAGTACAAATGCCACCAAAGGGGGTTACGAGAGACTATATCTTACACAAATGTAAGTGCTTTATAAAATAATAATAATAAAATAATAACTTTACACAAATCCCTGCGTCAATGGACCCGTAACGATCCGGGTGTGGGTGTGTGTGTGTGGGGGGGGGGGGGGGGGGGGGGGGGGTGGACAGATCTTCAGCCACCAATTCTTGGCATAAAAGGGTGACAGCGCTTGTCGTAAGAGGCGGGATCGGGTGGTCAGGCTCACTGACTTGGTTGATGCACGTCATCGTATCCCAATTGCGTGGATCGATGCGCATAATGTCAATCACTGGATTATCTGGTCCCGACTCGATTATTTACAGGCCTCCGTAATATAAATCTGAAATATTGCTGGGTGCAGCGTTAAACAACTAACAAACAAACACAACTTTGAGGAATTCACAACAATCACTATGATGAGGTCTGCCTATCTTGCAATCAACCTGAATCCAGTTACTTGAAAGTCACACCCGGGCTTGGTTAAAACAAGAAATGCAGTTAGATCCGCTATATGTTGTAGATCTCCTGTAGTCAAGAGATGCAATAGCGAGGCAGAGCTATATCAATTTATGAGGGCCAGACAGCTACTCGAACATATATAAATAGAGCAGCCAAAGATAAAAATGAAATCATATCAACACAAAAAGAGAAAGAGTATGAGTACTAAAACTTGCAATAGATATGTGTACCCTACGCACACACATGAATCCCATTCGACAGTCTACAACACACGAGAAACTGTCAAACAAGTTTGGGTACCCCTTGTGTTCAGGCAAGTTATTTAGTTCAATAATTTTGTATTAAAAATCCTTTTCAATTTGTTCTCACCATTTTCCCTATTCCATGCATGTTTATGTTGCTACATGCTATTGCTCGTGTTCCCAAAGTATAATAAAACACTTTAATGTTTCTTCTTCCTAATCTAACGTCATAACATTTCAGGTCATTACCATCATCTAATACACAAAAGATGATACATATTTTATTCGGTTTTATTGTCTATGCGGTCTTACAATTGATTTTATTAGTTTTTAAATCTTATGCCTGGTTCATATTTTCACAAACAGGGCCGTTAGCTAATATAAGGAATGCAACATCCAGTTGAGGACTGAATACGACACACGTTAGTCTGTTAACGAACTTTTTAAATGAATATTTTGAATAAGCCGTTAATACGCCAATTGTGACAGGGATGATGGTATGGTAGCTGTAGGAGACAGATTGACAGTCGTTGTTACATGAGTCACCAGGTTATTAGTACGGCCTTGGCCTTGTTGATTGTTACTATACTTTGAGGATTTCTGTGGACAGTGGCGGACGTAATTCAAACTCCTTCCACACCAACACCGCAGCAAATATATTTGTACCGATTACTCTTACGGACACGCGAAACGGACGACACTGTGTAAACTGGGCGGCTCCTCACAACATACTTTTAATGAATGACCAATTAAACGATGACACACATCAGGATCGCGAAGAAAAGTCGTTCTCGTTGAATATATCAAGCCACCAATTCATCTTTCATAAACTTTTTGTGTCTTTGTGCTTAATATATCCACATATCAACGAAAATATGTAATACATGTATCCACAAAAAAATATACATATACAGGCTAGGTATTTGCCCACAGTTACACCTGCATAGCTGTTTGTTCACGCGTGGTGTGGCAGATTGTATTTGACCGAGAGCAGGTATTGTAGAATCACCTGTAAATAAGGCCGACACTGTAATTAGATACAACGTACTTATGAGAATATGAGAATCATCACAAGAAGGCTGTTGCGTTTTTCTTTAGTGTTACCATTATCATACCAAAACTGGCAATGCATTTAAAAGTTGCTTTCGTGTCACAATGTTCACTCAAGTTTTCCTCGGTCGCATTGAAACATAATTCCCATTGGTCAGTTCGACACCGCATGTAATTAAGTAATTATTTCGAGATTTCGTTAGAATGTGAGATATTCAGCCAGACGTTAACTATGCAATGAAAGGCGAATCGTTTTTTGTTTCCATCAAAATACGCGCACGTGTACCTGTATATTGCATACCTAGTGTCACTTACTTTCCCAGTGTGATGTACCAACGAGTCATAAAATTGGGAAATGAAAAAGAAACTAACTAAACTTTAATGTTGTGGGAAATAACGCCAATGAATTGGTGTACAAGCGCATGAATTCGTATGATAAACTGTCAAAACGTTTTGAGAGGTAAGGCCGGGTTCATTACAGATCGTTACACTATTATATGTAAAACAGGTGAAATCTGTAAACTTCAAAAAAAGGAAACATCCAACCAAAGGCCCTTTGAGCAAAGGAAAATATTCTCGCGCATGGGTCAAACCTTTTTTCGCCCATGGGCGAAATACTTCAATAACGCTATAAAATCGTTGAATTAAGTTAAAATGAGTTACATTATGTGTCATGATACTTGTAAGCACATCTGTATGTATTTACGAAACAAAACCATGAGTTTTGAGAAAAGGAAAATATTATCTCCCGTTTTCTTCCTTGGTATGTTCCCATGAAAACAGCATGTTTAATTTGGTAAATCCCTTTGACGGAGACTGGGTAAAGACCGTAGAGTTTCTGGACTATTGGGTTTCCAGAATTAAGATGGGACGTGTTATATTTAAGTATGCCTGTACACACAGTGAGACGTAAATACAATATCTGTCTGTCTGTCCATAAATTCTTTTCCTTAACAAAGAACTTGCTATTTCAGTTCCCAATTCAAAATAGCGCGATTAAATCTACAGGTAACCTTGCACTACATTGACAAAACACAGTATGCTTATTTCCTAAATAAAACGACGAACTTTGTTACATCTTTCACTGAACATACTTATATGGTGGCTAACTAAACATTGAGCTCGAAATAATTTATGAAGGTTATAGTACAAGCACAATACTCACATACATATGCTTTTTGTGTACTTTATGTAAAGTTAGTAGGTTATGAGAGCTTGTAAATAATTAGAAAAAGAGAGAAATATTGCCCATTTATACTACCCAGCTGTATTTTGATGGTCATACGAAAGTGCACGAATTAGTATCTTAATTATCCTGTAAACTGTAACTAGTTTTCAAAGTATGAATATGTATATTATTTACAACCTCGCTTTCACTTAATTCAATGAGGTCACACACGTTAAAAATAGCTTTGGTAAGAAATCTATCAGAGCTTCATAGCATGATCATATTCATAAAATAATCATGTCAATGCCATTATTTTACGCCTATTGCTTAGAATCATAAAGTACATCGTAAGTGTCAATGCCAATTATGTGCCTTTCATCAACCGCAACATTTTAACGATTCTAAGCATACGATGACGCAAATTACCCACCAGGAATAAATAGAGAAAGCATACCTGCGTTCTAAAACAAACAGATCACAATTCTTTGGCAACTTCTCATTTTTTAAGAATTCATTGTTCTAAGCATGCGATTACGCACATTAACCACCAGGTATAGATAGAGAAAACATACCTTCGTTCTAAAAGAAACAGATCACAATCCTTTGGCAGCTTCTTATTTAACCATATTCTCGTGAATAGCTGAGCTACTTGTTTCTGCGCCGCTTGTAGAGACCCTACACCAACAGTGGGCTTAAATATACTTTATGGGTGGGCGGAGCTTCTGCGACCAGTTGACTTGTATTTTGTGAGCATTGCACAAAATGTGAGCACCCCAACACACAAGTACACCGCAGTGACAGGTTACAGCGCGCGTTGACGCTGCATTGTTTGTATCTGAACAAGTTTTCCTTCTTTATCAATAGGCAAACTATCGTTATCGCGGACATTCTGTTTCAAGAGGAAATATGTACCGCAAAACCCGCGATCTTAACTCGGTCACAGCCAGCTTGGGTCTCAATGAAGTCAATGTTTTTTTGCTGATTTGCACTATAAACCTGAATTAATCTGATGAATTATTAACAGAGGAATATTCAGTTATCGAACATTACCACCTCTACCTCTCTCCCATTTTCTCCCTCTCTCTCTACCTCTGTCTACCTCTCTCTACCTCTGTCTTCCTCTGTCTACCTCTCTCTACCTCTTTCTATGCCTCTTTCTCTACCTCTCTCTCTCAAGATGAGTCAACATATATACTTGCAGAACACGAAACACAAAAGGGATACATTCGGTATTCAACGTCAAAATAGTCGACTTAGTGGTACAGCATTTGTAAATCTAAAGCCATGTTACAGTCATAAAAAACGCAGTGTGTTTGCAAAACGTTGGTGGCAGGAACATATGGTTCAGTTCAAAATAAGGAATCGCTTCGGACATGTGTATGTATGTGTGTGTGCGCGTGTGTGTATGTATGTGTGTGTGTATGTGTATGTATGTGTGTGTATGTATGTGTGTGTATGTATGCGTATGTATATGTGTGTGCGTGTGTGTGTATGTATGCATGTGTATGCGTGTGTGCGTGTGTGTGTGTAGTGTGTGTTATGTCGTTGGTTGACTAAGTACCGATACGATACAGGGTTCCTGTATCGACGAGCTCACGTATTGCGTTCTATATATAGATACATGTACATGAACAGAATCTATCACTTATACACAATACCTTCAGATTCAATTTAACTGTACACTGATTCCAATCCCCCTGGAATCTAGTATATACTATCATATATAAACTATTTTGATCTGCTATGGGCTGCAATACTGGATTTTAAGAGCCTTTTCGATAAGATGTTTCCAGACGTATACACTGCAACAATGGTATAAAACAAGTGATCGACATATTTAACTCACAAAGTGTTTAGGAAAACAAAAGCTCTGCATTTTGCAACCAAACACGCGCATGATGTGCAACACACAAAAGGGTCTAGAATATCAGTACACATCAACTACATACCAGAAGTCCAAAAGTGTTTGGAACTTTAACACGTTCTTGAAAAGAGTGGAAAATAGTTACATCCCCTCTTTCGCGCGTCAATAACATGACGTACGTTTCCAACAAATTTACTGTCGATAGTTATATCAAAATGACTAGGAGTCAATGACTGAATAAGGCATTATTCAAAATAGTTATGTTGAACGTTGTGTGATAACAAGTGAACATGTCACGGGGTTAAATTATCAGACAAGGATTGAACACTTTTTTACGGCGTAGTCACTTATTGGACGTCCAATAGTGGGGAGGAAGTATCTGCAAGTCTTATAAACACGGATATTATTTTAGACGACTTATTATTAGCTGAGGTAATGATAAGGCTCAGTTATTATGAAAACATTTGTAATAAACAGTCTTGTATTGTTAAAAGACATGTTACAGTATCATTTACTTTTGAAACATGTATACGCGTGATATTTGTTCATAACGTAATTGTGCAGTCATTTGATTATGAATAAAGGTGCAACTTAACCACACATATTCTCCCATGAGCATACGTTTTGCATTTTGTAAGCCTGAAATCAAATTCTCAATCCCTACATTGCCCCAACTCTGAGCCATTTTAAGTTAGAAAATACAGTAGGTCTGAGTTAACAAATGCGGCGGTGGGCGGTGATAGTGGTAATTGAACAGCAATGTTTATCTCATCGCCATGTGCTACTTATTACGTCAATATTTGGCTGACGTGGTTGCTACAAACTAACGCGCCCAAGCTGGTAATATAACCCAATTATATTACCCAACCATTAAAATCTATGCCATTTTTGGTCAATGGGCAATCTCCCATTTATCTATGAGCGAACATAAGATAAACATGAACCCGGTCATAATAGATTTCAAGTGTATTTATATCCGTGTAATATATGCAATATGGCAGCATTTACGATAAATAAACATGCCAATAAATACACAAAAGCATACATTTGTAATACATGTTCACAGTCACTTCATGTACCTCTACTTCAACTCCCGAGTGAAAAAGTGCAAATTTGACGGTCAGATGACACGTGTATGTCTAACGATTGTTCTCGGAATACAGGTTCGGTTCCTAGCGTGAATAAATTTGGACAATACTGTTCTTAGGTATGGCATGTGTGCAATACATGAATGTCTACTGCTATCTGCAATAACTGAATTTCTACCCCTGTGTGCAATACCTTTATGTCTGCTTCTGTGTCCAATACCTGAATATCTACTTATGTGTGCAATACATGAATGTCTACTACTATCTGCAATGCCGGGCTGTTTGCTTCTGTGTGCAATACCTGTATGGCTGCTTCTGTATGCAATACCTTTATGTCTGCTTCTGCATGCAATACCTTTATGTCTGCTTCTGCGTGCAGTACCTGTATGGCTGTTTCCGTGTCAAATACCCGAATCTCTACCTCTGTATGCAATACCTTTATGTCTGCTTCTGTATGCAATACCTTTATGTCTGCTTCTGTGTCAAATACCTGAATCTCTACTTGTGTGTGCAGTACCTGAATCTCCACTTTTGTGTGCAAAACCTCAATCTCTACTTCTGTGTGCAATACCTGAATCACAACTTGTGTTTGTAACACCTTTATTTCTACTTCTATGGGCAATACCTGAATCTCTACTTCTGTGTGCAATACCTGAATCTCCACTTCTGTGTGCAATACCTGAATCTCCACTTCTGTGTGAAATACCCGAATCTCTCCTTCTGTGTGCAAAACTTGAATCTCTACTTCTGTGTGCAATACCTGAATATCTACTTCAGTATACAATACGTCAATATCTACTTTAGTGTGCAATACCCGAATCTCTACTTCTGTGTGCAATACCTGTATGTCTGCTTCCGTGTCAAATAACTCTGAGTCAATCCCTACTTCTGTGTGAAATACCTGAATCTCTTCTTCTGTGTGCAATACCTGCATCTCTACTTCTGTGTGCAATATCTGAATCTCTACTTCTGTGTGAAGTACCCGAATCTCTCCTTCTGTGAGCAGTACCCTAATCTCTCCTTCTGTGTGCAATACCCGAATCTCTACTTCTGTGTGCAATACCCGAATCTCTCCTTCTGTGTGCAATACCCGAATCTCTCCTTCTGTGTGCAATACCTGAATCTCTACTTCTGTATGCAATACCTGAATCTCTACTTCTGTGTGAAATACCTCAATCTCTACTGAGGTGAGGTGAAATAAGGTTTAACGTCGCGGCCAAGATTATTGCACTTATATAGCGACGTGCATGTACGTGTGTGTGTGTGGCTGCTTGTACTAGTCCTGACTGATGCCGATTTATAGTGCTAGCCCACTATGATACCATGCCGCAGTTTAACATGAATACCCCACTCAGACACAGTATATTGACTCCGAGCCGACCAGTCCTTGCTTTAGCCCATTAATGCCGAGCGCCAGACAGGGTAACAACAAGTGCCATCTTTTAACGTCTTTTGGTTTGATACGGCCGGGGATCGAACCCCGGACCTTCCGCTCTCCGGGCGGACGCTCTACCACTAGACCACGGAGGCGGTTCAGGAATGTGTTGATATGTTGCAGGGATGTGTTGACGTGCTGTAGGCATGGGTTAACATGCTGTAGGAATGGGTTGACATGTTGTAGGAATGTGTTGGCGTTCTGTAGGAATGGGCTGACATGAAGTAGAAATAGGCTGACATGATGTAGGAATTGGTTGCCATGCTGTAGGAATGGGATGACATGCTGTAGGAATGGGATGACATGCTGTAGGAATGGGTTGCCATGATGTAGGAATGGGATGACATGCTGTAGGAATGGTATGACATGCTGTAGGAATGGGTTGACATGCTGTAGGAATGAGTTGACGAACTGTAGGAATAGGATGACATGCTGTAGGAATAGGTTGACGTGCTGTAGGAATGGAATGACATGCTGTAGAAATGGGTTGGCATGCAGTAGAAATGGTATGACATGATGTAGGAATGGGTTGACGTGCTGTAAGAATAGGTTGACATGTTGCAGGAATGGGTTGACATGTTGCATGAATGGGTTGACATAAAGTAGGAATGGGATGACTATCTGTAGAAATGGGTTGACTCGCTGTAGGAATGGGCTGACATGCTGTAGGAATGGTATGTCATGCTGTAGGAATGGTATGCCATGCTGTAGGAATGAGTTGACGTGCTGTAAGAATAGGTTGACATGCTGTAGGAATGGGATGACTAGCTGTAGAATTGGGTTGACTCGCTGTTGCAATGGGCTGACATGCTGTAGGAATGGTATGCCATGCTGTAGGAATGAGTTGACGTGCTGTAAGAATAGGTTGACATGCTGTAGGAATGGGATGACTAGCTGTAGAATTGGGTTGACTCGTTGTAAGAATGGGCTGATATGCTATAGGAATGGGCTGACATGCTGTAGGAATGGGTTGACATGCTGTAGGAATTGGTTGATATGCTGTAAGAATAGGTTAACATGCTGTAGGAATGGCTTGACGTGCTGTAAGAATAGGTTGACATGCTGTAGGAATGAGTTGACGAACTGTAGGAATGGGCTGACATGCTGTAGGAATAGGTTGACGTGCTGTAGGAATGGAATGACATGCTGTAGAAATTGGTTGGCATGCAGTAGAAATGGGTTGACGTGCTGTAGAAATGGGTTGGCGTGCAGTAGGAATGGGTTGACGTGCTGTAAGAATAGGTTGACATGCTGTAGGAATGGGATGACTAGCTGTAGGAATGGGATGACTAGCTGTAGAAATGGGTTGACTCGCTGTAGGAATGGGCTGACATGATGTAGGAATGAGTTGACGTGCTGTAAGAATAGGTTGACATGTTGCATGA